TTTTTTGGGTTTTTTTTGGGAAGAGATTGGTTGGTTCTAAGGAGAAGCCGGATTTTTGGGATGGGATGTCATTCCCGTTGGATCCGAGTCCGGCTGGGAGAGCCAATCCCGGGTCGGGATCCATCCGGGATCTTCCGGGGTGTCCAAAGGGATCCATCCCCACGTGGATCATTCCATGGGCCGTTGTAAATCCCGAGGAAAAATCCTACACGGGGATGTGGAGACAGCCCCAAATCCAGGGAATGTTATTGGTGGGGGGAAAGTCTAATCCATGCCCTGAATCCTTGGGAATGGCTGGAATGGTTTTGGGAATTTTGAGAGGAGGGTTTGATCCATGGAATTTTTGGGAATGGCTGGAATGGGATTGGGAATGCTGGGAGAGTTCTAATCCATGGATGTCCCTGGGAATATGGGATTGGGAATGTTGGGGGCGGGGGCTGATCCATGGGATTTTTGGGAATGATTGGAATAGGATTGGGAATTTTGAGAAGAGGGTTTGATCCATGGAATTTTTGGGAATGGCTGGAATGAGATTCGGAAAATTGGGAGGGTTCTAATCCATGGATGTCCCTGGGAATATGGGATTGGGAATGCTGGGGGTGGGTGCTGATCCGTGGAATTTTTGGGAATGGCTGGAATGGGATTGGGAACGCTGGGAGGGGTCTGATCCACGTCATTATTTCCTTGGAATGTCTGGAATGGGATTGGGAATGTTGGGAGGAGTCTGATCCATATCCTGAATCTTTGGGAATGTTTGGAATGGGATTGGGAAGTTTAGTGAGATCTAATCCATGTCCTGAACCCTTGGGAATGGCTGGAATGGGATCGGGAATGTTGGGAGGAGTCTGATCCATGGAATTTTTGGGAATGGCTGGAATGGGATCGGGAATGTTGGGGAGGTTCTAATCCACATCCTTTTTTTTTTTCCTGGGAATGGCTGGGATGGAATTTGGAATCTTGGGGGCGTCTAATCCAAATCCTGAATCCTTGGGAATGCCTGCAGGGACCCAGGAATTCCAGGAGCACCTCCCGGTCATCTTTTCCACCGTCCATCTCCTCGCTCTGATTCCCATTCCCAGGAAGAGCCGGAATTTCGGGATACCCAGCCCGGGGGATCCGCCTCCTTCCCACGCCTGATCCCGAGAATTCCCAAGAATTCCCAAGAATTCCCAAGAATTTCACCACCTCATCCCTCCAAGCCACTCCTGAGGGAGGGAATTGTGGCACATGGAGGATCCCAACTGATCCCAGCTTGGAATTTTGGGGGATTTTATGTGATTTTATGTGATTTCGTGGATTTTATGGGATTTTTATGGGATTTTATGTGACTTTATGGGATTTTTATGTGATTTTATGGGATTTTTAATGCGATTTTATGTGATTTTGGGGATTTTTATGGGATTTTATGGGATTTTTAATGCGATTTTATGGGATTTTAGTGCGATTTTAATGTGATTTTATGGGATTTTATGGGATTTTATGGGATTTTACTGCATTTTACGGGATCAGCTCCTTTTCCTGCCGTGACCGCAGCTCCGGCACCTCTCGGCACGCTCTGATCCCATAAATCTGCATTTCCCAGGATTCCCACACCCTGGCAATCACCCGACATTCCCCGATGGAATTCCACCGGGGAAAAGCCGGACTCCTCTCCCTCCTCCTCTTCCTCCTCATCATCCTGGGCCGCCAATCCTCGGGAAAATCCCTTCCGGCGGGTTACCGGGAGCACGAGGATCCCCGGGAAAGCCGGGGCTTGATCCAGTGTGGGGAATACAGCAACCAGGTCCTTCCCGACGGGAAGTGCCGGATCGTGGCCACGCTGCCGCAGGGCGACGAGCGGCGCTGCCCGGATCTGTTCCGCTGCACCGACGAGGTCTCCTACTGGATCCACGAGAACGAGGAGCGCAAGCAGCAGATCCTGGAGCTCCGGGAATCCATCTCCGAGCTCCACGAGGAGCTCCGGAATCACCGGCACCGGGTCAAGGCGCTGGAGATCCAGGTGAGAGCGTCGCCGTGGGCAGTTGTGGGGTTTTTGGTTTTTTTTTTTTCCCCATGGGAGTTTCCATGTCTGGAATTTGGCAGGGTTGGAACTGGGATCAGGAGAGTTCCAGGGATCATTTTCAGTCCCAAATCCTTGAGTTTCATCCATGGAATCTCCTCCGAATTTGGAAGGGCTGTGGGTCCATCCCATTCCCAAAGCTTTCGAGATCCAGGTGAAAGTGTCCATGGGAAGTTTTCCATGGGCACTTCCGTAGCCTGGAATTTGGCAGGGTTGGAATTGGGATCAGGAGAGTTCCAGGGATCATTTTCAGTCCCATATCCTTGAGTTTTATCCATGGAATCTCCTCCACCTTTGGAAGGGCTGAGAATCTGTCCCATTCCCAGAGCCCTGGACATCCCATTAAAATTTTCCATGGGAAGTTTTTCCTTTGGTGCTTCCATAGCCTGGAATTTGGCAGGGTCGGGATTGGGACCGGAAGAGTTCCAGGGATCATTTTCAGTCCCAAATCCTTGAGTTTTATCCATGGAATTTCCTCCACCTTTGGAAGGGCTGTGGATCCGTCCCATTCCCAAAGCCCTGGACATCCC